TACCTCAATGCTACCTACATGCAATGGGCCTTTGGAATACAGCTTAATTAATTGCATTATGAATGAAATTGCATTAAATAAATTGTATTATGCCTATAAACTCAGTACTAGGGAGGCTGAGGCAAGAGGATCACTTGAGTTCAGGATTTTCAAGCCTAGCCTGGGCAACACAGAGAGACACAGTCAAAGAACAAGGAGGGAGGCAGAGAGGAATTGAGGGAGGAAAAGGGAGAGAGAGGGGAGGGGAGGGAAGGAGGGAAGGGAGGAAGAGGAGGGAAGGAGGGAGGGAGGGAGAGGAGGGAAAGGAAGGAAAAGGAGGGAAAGGGGAAGGGAAGGGAAGGGAAAGGAAAGGAAGAAGAGAAGAAGAGAGGAAAGAAGAGGAGGGAGGAAGGAAGTGGAGGAGGGAGGAAGGAAGAGGAGAGGAGGAGGGAGGAAGGAAGAGAGGAAGGAGGGAGGGAAGACAGGAAAAGAGAGAGGGGAGAGGGAGTGAGGCAGGAAGGAGGGAAGGGAGGGAGAATACTGAGTAAATCATAAGTCTTCAATAAATACAATTAACAACCAAAGTCAAAAAACAAGAAATCAAGAGATGAGAACAAAGGAATAATACACGGTTCAAACAAGAGAAGTAAAAGCCTCACTTTTCAGGTAGGACGACTGTTTTCATACAAAATCCCAAGGTATTTTAAGACATTCATTCGAACTAATCACAATAACAAAGTTATAACACACAAAGTAAATATACAAGATATAAAATGTATAATATTCCTACACATTGGTAGGAAATAATTGGTAAATAAAATTTTTAAATAATTCCATTTTCAGTAATGACAAAAAATAATGTCAATAATGTTAAATTTATCTAACATAGAGGTGGGCTATGTTGTAGAGAGCTGGCAGAGTGAAGCCTGCAGGACAACGAAGACAAAGGAAAGAATGGTAGGCAGCTGCTATAGTAGCAGAGAGATCAGTATCACTGACAGACACCTAAAAATCAAGAAATCAAGTGTGATATATCTGATACATCATAAGAACCTTTGCAAATGCTACAATGTACCCCCACCCAGCACAGCAATAAAAAAATAAACAAAATATTTTTAAAGATTTTTAAAAAGATAAAGAGAATGCAAGCTCCTTAAATAGAAAGTAGCAAACTTCTCTAAATAGAAAAATCACAGCCAAAAGCTTAGAGAAGTCACGTTTCAAAAAAGATTTCAAAGACCCCTGCAATCACTAGGAAGACTGATTGGTGAAGGAAATCCTCTGCGTGAAGACTGGGAGAGGTAACTTTTTCATTGCACTTAGCAACAAAAAGGAAAAAAAGAACTCACAACACACACAAACAGGTCAACTTAGCTCAATCAATAAATCTCCAGAAACCAAGCTAATTACCTGGCAAAGAACTGAGAATAACTGTTTTAAAGAAGTTCAATGACACTGGATATGACCGCACACACCTGTAATTCCAGGGCTAGGAGAGGGCTGATGCAGGGGAATCATGAGTTTGAGGCCAGTCTGGTTTAATGACACCAGATATGACCGCACACACCTGTAAATCCAGGACTAAGAGAGGGCTGACGCAGGGGATTGTGAGTTTGAGGCCAGTCTGGGTTACAAAGGGAGGCTCCATTAAAAGAAGTTCAACGTTCTAAGACAGATGGAAGACAACTAAATAATATCAGGAAAATTTTAAGTTAAATAAAATACAGCTATCAACAAGAAACAAATTACAAGAAACAGAAATGTTGGGGCTAAAAATATAATACTTAGAGAGGTTCAATAGCAAACAAATCAGTATGCACAAAAACAGGTTTCTGAAAATTATTACCTCAAAAAAGCAAAAATTTTAAAAAATGAAGACATTAGAAGGAATATGTGAAATATCATTACACAGTCCAATATACGCATTATGGGAATTCCATAAGAAGAACTAAAATGGGCAGAGGTTATTTGAAGAAAGAATGGCTGAAAGATTCTGAAAAAGGAAATGAGCATCTGCTATAATTCCGATCTAAAATGTCCTCCAAAGGCCACGTGTGAAAGGCTTGGCTTTCGCTTGGCTTCTGTGGGAGATGTTAGAACCCTGAAGAGGCAGAGCCTAGTGGGAGGAAATTAGGTCAATGGGATTGTGCCTTGAAGGGGATATTGGGACCCCAACCCTTCCTCTTCCTTTTCTTTTGCTTCCTGGCCACCATGAGGTGAGCAGTTTGCTATACTATCTACTCTTCCCTTTGATTTACTTCCTCACCACAACCCCAAAGCAAAAGGGCCAACTGACCATAAACTTAATCCTCCAAAACTGTGAGCTACATTCCTCTTTTAAGTGATTATTTCAGGTATATTATTACAGTAATGCAAAGCTGACTAGCACGGCAACCAATTTAAGAAGCTCAAAGAACAGCAGCAAGAATGAAACTAACACACAGACACATCATAATCAAACTCACAAAAACCAAAGACAAAAAAAATCTTAAAAGCAGCAAGAGGAAAGCAACTTGCCATATAAGAAAGCTCCCACAAAATTATTCGGCATTTCATGGTAGCAACCTTACAGGCCAGAAGCAAGTGGGATGATATACTCAAAGTACTGAAAGAAAAAACTGCCAACTAGGAATACTATGTACAGCTAAACTGTCCTATAAAAATGAAAGAAAGATAAAATAGAAACAGAAGAAAAGCAAATTTTAAGTTATTAGAGGATACTTTACAGGTTTTTAGGCAAATAAATTTTAAAATTCATATGAAATGCATAATATCCTAGACAAAAAAATTTACCAAAACTTAAGTATGCAAGAAATAGAACATTCAAAATGACCAATTTCTTTTCAAGAAATAAAAAAAGTTATCAATGAGTCAATCAACAAAAAAAATACTAAGACCAGATAGTTTTATAAGTCTTCGAAAACTTCAGATCAAAACTTCAATCAAAATTAAAGCTACTCCAAAATACGATTTCTCATCAAATTGGCAAACATTTAAAAATATGACAGTATTGTTCTATTGGTAACACCATGGGGAAACAGGACTCATACATTTGGCAACTTCTAACAAAAGCACAAACATATTTATCTTTGATCCAGCAATCTGACTTCTAGGAGTTTGCTGTAATGATATACACTCTATTGGCTGTATCTTTAATGTCCATACCTAGGAGAGTGGCTAAACAAACTATAATACATCCACACTGTGGGATAACAAGCAGCTATAAAAAAAAAAAATAAGATCTCCAAAAATTGATATTGATTAACTTCTATATTTGTTAACAACAACAAAAAAAAATAGCAAAGTACAAACCACACACCAGTGGTTCCTGTCTATAATCCTACCTACTTAGAAGGCTAAGACTGGGAGGACCATGGTTTGTGGCCAGCAGGGCAAATAGTTTGCAGGATCCCATTTCAAAAAAAACAGAGCAAAATGGATTGGAGGCATGGTTTAAGCAGTAGAGTGCCTGCTTTGCAAGCACAAAGCTCTGAGTTCAAACCCCATTCCCACCAGAAAAAGAAAAAAAAAAGCAAAGTACAAAAGGGTAATTAAGACTATACCATGGATATAACTACCTATTTGTTTAAGAAGAAACATAGGAAAGGTAAATCACTAACTAATAATGCTGGTTACATGGACAGATAGGTAGAAACAGGATAGAAAGAAAAAAGGGTTGTGATACTTCTCTGGGTACACCTTTTAGTACAGTGTCTTCTGGAAACTATACTAATGCTTCACATACTAAAATAAAGAGAGCAAAATAAAGTAAGAATGTTTAGGGGTATTAAGAAACTTAAAATAAATATGAATAGAAATGAATCTAACTCTTTCAAAATGAGGAAACTAACCATAATGAAAGAATAGGTGCATGTTCGGGTGCAGAATTAAATATTCTCAGGATAAAGATCAAAGAGAATAGTAAAAACTATTGAAGGGCTGAAGGTGTAGCTCAATAATAGAGCACTTGCCCAGCACACAGAAGGCCCTGAACTCCATCTCCAGAACTTGGGGGGAAAAAGACTAAAGTCTAATTTGCAAGTGTATTTTTCACTGGAATACATATATGAGAAATTCTGAGGAAATAAGTAAATACACTGTGGACAATAGGGGAGACTTCTCATTCTTGGAGAAGAAAATAAGACGTGTCACAATCTAAATACTTCAAGGACATTAAAAGAAAAACTATATTAAAAAGCATAACCAGTCAACAACTCAGTTATGAAGTTATCCATGGAAACTGCAAACATTTGACTTTCTACCTCCTGCCATCCCCTAGAAGCACTTCATCTTTAAGTTATTTTTTACAGATCTAACAATGAAGTTTTCAAAAGTATCTGACTTTCCATGTCTGAGATCCCTCTTTTCTATTTAAAAGTACAGAGAATCATACAGTATGTTTTCTTTGAAAATTTCACTACTTTTGCTTTCATATCTAAATTACAGCATTAATTAACTAAACTGTTTAAGAAATGAATTATTCACTGCCTTTTTAAACCAAGATTAACCTAGAAACTCATTTAAAACTTTAACGCAGAGAAACTAAAGCAGATACCTTAAAGCAATTGAGGCCAATAGGAAAAGGGGAACAGGTACTAGAGAAAAGGTTAGATCAAAAAGAATTAACCTAGAAGGTAACACCCACGCACAGGGGAAATCAATGTGAGTCAATGCCCTGTATAGCTATCCTTATCTCAACCCAGCAAAAACCCTTGTTCCTTCCTATTATTGCCTATACTCTCTCTACAACAAAATTAGAAATAAGGGCAAAATAGTTTCTGCTGGGTATTGAGGTGGGGGGAGAGGGAGGGGGCAGAGTGGGTGGTAAGGGAGGGCGTGGGGGCAGGGGGGAGAAATGAACCAAGCCTTGTATGCACATATGAATAATAAAAGAAAAATGAAAAAGAAAATATATGCTCCAAATTAAAAAAAAATAGATAAATAAATTTCTAAAATATATTTTCAAAAAATTATGTACTATATATGACATGAATAATGTAATTTCTTAAAATTTAGGACTTTTCAGTGTGTCTCAATTATTTAGTTATTAGTTAAATTTGGATATCAGAAATTGTTTTCAATAAACCCATAAATTTGTTTCCTAGTATTCAAAATTAAGGTGCTAGCCCGAATAACAACCTAACAGAGTTACAAAACTCAATTACATGCATACTGGAGTTTTATTGTTAACTAGACATCACTGTGACTCTCTTAAGGTCTTCCTTGCATTGCAACAGAAAAGACAGATTCCCCTCTACAGGCAGTGTTTGGTAGACACCTGGGCAGAGAAGTAGCTTCTAGGTGAGTAGTCTCTTGAGAGCTGTTCACTTTGGTGCTACAAAGTGGGAGATCTCGGAAGACTTCCATTGACTTCTGAGAAAACAACAAATGTCTATTATTTGGATGAAATAAATCAGTGTCTGCTTCCCTAACATTCACTTCCTGGATCCTTCAAACAATAATCCTTTAATGCTTGTGTTAACACCCTCATACTTGGAATTAAGTGGTTTCTTTTTTCCTAACCAAACTCTGACTGAGTGATACGGTGTATGCGAAAGTACTATATCACTTGAAAACGATCATAAAGAAACATAATATAATTTCTGTTCCCACAAAGAGGCAATTTTAATTGAGTTGTTTTCTGGTAATCAGCCTCTTTTTAGATAATTGTTACATCCAAAATAAAGCTTTCCTTCTATAAATCAATAAAACTTTTCCTTGTGAAAAAAATCAGCTCTCTACCTAACTTTATTTCCTCAAATTAAACATTCATTTGATCAATGCATTTTACTGTGGAAGGCATTGTGTTAGTTACCAAGATATTCCTTTACAAGAGTTTATAAAAGTACAAGAATAAAAAACATAATACTCATAATTTTTACAAGTCAGAAGCTGCACATGACAATAGGTCAGAGAAAGAATGGTTCAAATTTAATTTGGGGTGGGGAGTAAAAATCAAAAAAGGACTTAAGGAAGAAAAAAATCAAATGTTAAAGAGAACTGACATTAAAGGCTAGGGAGAAGATGGACATGTTGGCTCATGTATGCAATCCTAGCTACTAAAGAGGTACAGATCTGGAGGATACGTTTCGAGGTCATTCCAGACAAAAAGTTCAACCCCATCTTGACCAATAAAAAGCTGAGTATGGTTGGCAGAATGTCTCAAGTGCTAAGAGCAGCTGCGTAGCAAGCGTGAGGCCCTAAATTCAAACCACAGTGCTGCAAAAACAAAAACAAAAACCTGGGTGTGAGCTGGACTCCTTAGCTACTTGGGAGGCTGAGGATGAGGAGGATCACATCTCCTAAATAACCAAAGCAAAATGTACTGCAGTTGTAGCTCAAATGATACAGTGCCTGTTTTGCAAGCATAAAGCCCTGAGTTGAAACCCCAGACCCCACCCAAAAAAAAAAAAAGATTAGTATAATGGCACACATCCTAGCTATGTTGGAAGCATAAGTAGGAGGATCGTGGTTCAGGTCAGCTCCCAGACCTATTCAAAAAATATCTAAAGCAAAAAAGGCTGGGGACATGGCTCAAGAGGTAGTGGGCTGCCTACCAAGCACAAAGCTCCAAGTACAAACCCTAATACTATCAAAAAAAAAAGAAAACTGGTAAGAAGAATTCTCAAAGTAGAGATGGTGGCAAAAAATGGTAGAACGTGTGTACTCAAAGAAACAGCTTCCAACTCTGGAGCATATATGGAGAACAACAGCATACAGTAGAGTGCTTTATACATGCAGTAAAAAGGACAGGGTTAGGTTAAGGCCAAATTATAAAAAGGCAGAAAAGCTAAACATTTGGACTTTACTGCTAGTATCAAACTTCAGATTCATAATACTTATAATACTTTATGCCTAGAAAACAAAATCAGGTAGCTAATGGGCATTCCTAACAGAACTAAGCAGATAAAAGAAACCGATCTTTTTAAAAGTATTTATTCTTTTTTTTTTTGTTATTCCAACACTCTCCTGTTCAAAAACCTTCAATAACTTCTAAATGCCTACTTTATTCAAGTCCCTCGATTCCATGGTCACCATCCTATTAATCTATCTATACAACAGTCTCCAAATATACTGTTCTCTGTATTGGCCCTTGAACAAGGTTGGAAAATGCAGGGGGCAGGGGCAAACTGTCATTCATTTGTCTACCCACATTGCCATAACAAAATACCATAGATTGAGTAGCTTAAACAAGAGACATTTATTTTCTCAATTTTGCAGACTAAAAGTTCAAGATCAAAGAGTGGGCCAATTTGGTTTCTTATGAGAGCTCTCATCTGTCTTTTTTACAAAATGTAAAAAATGCCATTTACAAAAAATGCCATTCACTGTGTCCTCGTATGACCTCCTCTGAAGACCAGAGAGAAAGATCTCTCTCTTCCTCTTTTTTTTTTTTTTTTTTTTTTTTGTGGCACTGAGGTTTGAACTCAGGACCTCAAGCTTGCTAACAGCTCTTACCACTTTAGCCACTCTATGAGCCCTTTTTTGTGATGAGTTTTCTAGAGCTAGGGTCTCACAAACTATTTGCCCAGGCTGGCTCCAAACCTTGATCCTCCTGAACTCTGCCTCCTGAGTAACTATGATTACAGGCATGAGCCACCAGCAACTGGCTTCTCTTCCTCCTCTTATAGGGCCAACACCCCCAGGTAATGGCAGGGCTGCTAGCCGGGAGGGGGCTTACTCTAAGTTGCAAGGGGAAGTAATTTACTGCAACAAGGGGCTGCCTTTAGGAAGTATAAATAGTGAGACTTAACCTTCATTACCTCCACAAAAGTGCTACCTCCAAATACAACGTGAGTTAGGGCTTCAAAAAAATATATTTTGGGAGGACACAAATATTCAGTCTATAGCACATCTTGTTATTTCTGAGGCTAGACTGAAAGAGATTTTGCAGCTTCTGTTCTTACCCTCTTGAAATACTTCCACCAGCAAATGGGAAAGCCCAACCCAGACAACAGCCAGAAACAAATGCCAGCTACATGAATGAGGAAATACCGGACTATACAGTTTCAGTCAAGCTTTCAGATGACTACAACTGCTTGAGTGGCCACAGATGAGACAAGCAGAAGAAATGCCAGCTGAGATCAGTCAAAATTGTAGAATCCAATGAAAATAAATTATTGTCGCTTAAGTCACTAAATTTGGGAATCATTTGTTACAAAGCAATATATTCGAATAAGGTATACCTTCTTGTTCTGCTTTTTGACCTAGACCTTTGAACTCTATAGGATTTCCCTCGACCCCTTGAACGACTTCGACTTCGTTTTCTTCTAGAGCCATAAGAAGAGCTGCTGCTTGATCGATGTCTACGTCTGAAATAAAATATAATCAGATATTACTGCTATAAAAAGTTGTGTCATGGGCAATAAGGAGAAACCTAGATTCTAAAGAATCACACCATTCTTGCTACCCTTTCACTCTTTCCTTAAAGCAAACAAAATATTAAAATGTTACTTCTTTTGAACAGTTAGGTGACTGATTCCTAATTTAATGACGGGATCAACTACTCATTAAGGCATTATGGGTCTTAAGTAGTATACAATCTTTCCAAATATCATCACATTATATGGTAGAAGAGCTACACTAGTTTATATCTACTTAACTGCAAAGAATAGATAAAGAGAAAAACATTAGACTCAAAGACTAAACCTGATAGAAAAAAATCTTCTGGGTTAGGACTCAACCCTCATAAATATATACCTACTAAAAGGAAATTTTATCTAACAAAATATATGAACTCTAAAGAATGTCACCTTCATTATTGCACAAATAAAAATTTATGACAATCACCTTCTATCATAAGAATGTGACCGAGGCTGAAGATCTCTGGACCAAGATCTTGACTTCGATCTTGATTTCCTTCCACCTTTCTTTCGGCTGTATGTTCTACTATCTGAAGAACTGCTTGAAGATGACCGTCTTCGGTGTTTCTTTTTTCTCTTGCTTCTGCTTTCTTCTTCAGTGTCTGATGACCGGCGTCCCATTTCTATAAGCTTAAAGTCAAAGAAAATTATTTCTAACACACTGGTTGAAACCCATTCCAATGGGTGAAATTCAATATACAAATTTTTATAAAACTTCAAAAAACTATTTTTAACGGTATTGCTATGTTGCCTAGGCTGGCCATAAACTGCTAGACATAATGAAACCTACTGCCTCAGCCTCCTGAGTACTTGAGACTACAAGGACACACCACACTCAGTTACTTTATAAAAAATTTAAGAAGCATATTTAAAGTAAAATTTAGAACATGCCCAGATTCTAGACAAGATGTGAGAAATAGCTCTAATACAATCTTCTGGGATATCAATGAACTTTTTAAAATTTGTAGCAATTTTTTTCAAATGTCTCTCAAAAAAGTTCACCCTGAAAACAGATCATACCAATTCTCTGATATTTTAAGTTGCATTTCCTTAATTATATGACATTCCCTGAAGACAAAACATACTTTGCCATCTTATACTTAGTTACCTTTTGAACTAAGAATTCTAAATTTTAGAATGGTAACACCTCACCAGTCATCAAGAAAGTACAAACTTAAATAACACACTATAATCTTTCCACTTGTGAAATTTAGAGGAAGAAATGTTAACAGAAGGACCTAAGTTGATGTAGTTATTGTGAAGTCAGTCAACTCTTTTAAAGCACCTATTTAAAGTGGTGAAAATATTTTTCATAATATAAAATATATTTTTTCTATTCATGAAAACTAGTTCTACGTAGTTAGGGTGATGTTTGTATATTTAGTACACAAAGGGAAAAAACAGACATAGAACCTAAGTTATTTTGTTGTCATTTTGGGGGTTTGAACTCAGGTCTCATGTTTGTTAGGCAGGTGCTCTACCACTTGATGCCCCCAGCTCTAAAATTTTCATATTTATGAATAATTTACCTAATAAAAAGCTTACTTGTCTTACTTTAAAGTTAACCTTTAGATTCTCATGTGTAATACTGGGTTTTTAAAAAGTATTGATCAAGCTATCTTTCAGAGTCATAAAAAAGCAGGATCCATCCTATATGAATAGTTAGATCAGTTCACACCATTCTTTAGTAATTATTTAAAGTAAGTTAAATATCAAATATTATTTAAAAAGTAATGTGTTAAATTACTACTTTGTTTTCAGAATTATCAGATAGCTAGAACCTCCCTGATTTCAATGCAACACTACTGGAAATGAATCTGTTAGGACCAATTCAAAACCTTAAACCATTTGCCTAAAACTACAATTAAAGAGTTTAAATATAGTTCTGAACCTCCAAGCAATTCATGTCTCTAACATTTTATAATTTAATGAAATACTGACAACTCTTAGTTTTGAAAACTTTCAGTATGATTAATCACTAACATTTAAGCTTAACAGTGCAAGCTTAAAAATGAAACACTGGGTAAAAGATCACTGTGATCCTTTTCAGCTTTAAAATAATATGACAATGAAATTATACACATATATAATATATAGTGGATACACATTTAAACTATGTGTCTTCATACTTAAGTATGTGTATATACTAGATATTCCCATATATATTAGGTACTCACATATCCATGTATATCTGTATATTTAAAAATCTACTAAGGAATATGTACACAGTTGAATGGTAATAATAATCTAATTTCCTTATTTCTTGGTTTTTTTTCCTCCCGTTTTTACATCTTTGTTTTTGCCTCTAAGAACTTAAGAAATCTCTGTACTCACAAATAACTATTTAAACGAACATGACCTTTTATTACCTTCTTACTATCTTATTGTAAAAATTCTGAAATAAGATTAAAGAGTAAGAGAATAAATTCACAAGTATAAAAAGACTAGAAAACAGGAACAGTAGATGAGATATGTCAACAAATTTTTAACAAATGAAAAACAGATGGGAGGATTTAGAGCTAAGAAAGCTAAATACCAAGCAACTACAGAAAATTCCAACTAGAGAAGAGCCAATTCTCATAGCAAAAATCAGAAAGAATCAGGAATTTGAGACACCAGATACAATGAGGAACCATTGCCAGGAACAATGAGGCATAGGCTAAAAACATGGGAACTGACTGAATTTCTTTAAAAGAAATAGTCTCTCAGGTCCCTTCTGCCAACCTGCCCAGCCAGGTGACTACCCTTCCCCAATCCCAGCAGGAGAGGAGATTGTGGGACAGGGGTCAGAAATCAATTTAGTAACAGGTCCAAGAGCTCAGTAAAGCCAAACTAGAAGTCAAAGAGATTAAGTAAAAGCTTACAGTCTAATGGAGAAAGCTGTAACCCTCTGTGTACTTGGATCCCAAACTTCTGAATCCAAGTGTATATCCTAGGAAGGAAATCAGAGGCTTCTTTCCTGAAAACACTGAACAGTACCCCATTAAAGATATTTGAGGGTCCCCTGAAGAAAACACCAGGAGTGCATCCAATCACACAATAATGTAGCCCACAATTATGAACTTTAAATAGACTAAACATTTTTCTATAAACATTTTTCTGTTAATTTTTAAGTAAATATATAATAAAACAAAACTAAATATGTAACAAAAGGTTGTATCATAAAAGACGAGGGCTGGGGATGTAGCTCAGAGGTATAGTATATAGTTAAAGTATGTGAGGCCCCAGCAAAAAGAAATAAAAAATTAAAATTAAATGAATAACAAACAGGCAGAAACAAAGCAACTCACAGAAAAAGGAGGGAAAAAAATTTCAAAAACAAAAATCATTTAATATCCTCGGATACTTGTAAGATGATCCAACAAACAAGAATAGGAGGAATGAGCACAGGATAGGAGAGGGAGTTTGAAATTCAAACAAACCATAAGTGGATTTTTTTTTTTTTTAAAAGAGGGTTGGGAAGGAAAGTAAAAAACTCAACAAAGGTAAAAAGGAAAATGAGACAAAGAAAATAGGAGACAAAAGTATTAATCCAATGGATCCAAAATTTGTTATGTATTCCACTTAAAAAGATCACCCAAAAAAATTAGCAGAAAAGAAGAAATCAAAAAATTTTCCAGAATTGAAAGGCATGAATTAAGTCCCTGGCACAAGGAATTTTTTAAAAAAGACACAGACCAGATATGTGTAGTAAAAAATTCTGACTCCAGGGCTGGGGATATAGCTCAATGGTATACTTGCCAACAAGTACAAGGCCCTGGGCGGGCGGGGGGAGAAGGTCGAGGACCCAGAATGTAGAGAAAATTCTAGAAACTTATGAAAAAGAAAAAAATGAGAACAAAAATAAAAGGCACAGGGTTTTCAACAACACAGAAAATAATGGAAATTCACCTTTAAAATTCTGAGAGAAAATTAATTTCTACCCAGTCAAATCATTGGTCTAGTCTGGGATTAGAATAAAGACATTTTTAGAAATACAAGGTGTCAAAATTATACCTCACACTCTCCCTTTTTCAGGAAGACAACATAGATTCAGAGTATGTGATCTAACACTAAACACAGGAAAAATGTCCTAGGATGAGGGAGACATCCATGAACTAGACACAAGACTCCTTGGACACAAGACTCAAGGAGCTTTCTTTCTAATGTACCAGCAACTCTCAAAATGGTCTCTAAGAAGCCAAAATTATTTTCATTACAATTCTAAAACATTATTTATCTTTTTCACTGTGCTGACTTTTGCAATGATACCTTAGCATAAATGGAGGCAGAAGCATCAAACTATACTAGAGTCATTGCATTCTTCACTGCCACACAAAGTGAAGAAAAAAAGAAAGCAGTTTAGATTAAGAATACTCCTGACAGAGCTGGGATGTAGCTCAGTGGTAGAGCACTTGCCTAGCATGCATGAGGCCCTGGGTTCTATCTCCAGTATCACAAAAAAAAAGAAAGAAAGAAAGAGGGGAGGGGAGAAAAGAAAGGAAGGAAGGGAGGGAGGGATGGGAGGAAGGCGAGATGAGGGGAGGGGAGAGGAGAAAAGAAAAGAAAGAGAAGAACGGAAGGAAGGTAGGTAAGTAGGTAAGTAAGTGTCCTTAGCAAAGGAGTAAATCGTTAATTATTAAATTTTAATCCTTGTATATACATCTTTTGTGTCTTGACTAATAAAATGGGAAATGTATACACTATCTGCCATATTTTGAAGAATGATGGTAGTCTCAAGAAAAACCATTTATGTACCTGAATTGCAAGCTGAACCAGTAGCTTTTCTGGTGAAGCATCATTTTATTAAAGCACTGACACACTATGATTGTTTAGACTTGGGTATTTGACAGACTTTTTCTCAAAATGAGTGAAGACAGCCTTTCGTTTCAAGAAACACTAATAGTATTTTTTGCTAATGATAAAATTCAAGCTCTCAAGCAAAATTTTCAATGTTGGCTAACCTGTAACTGCCATCATGAGACTGACAGCTTCCCTGTAGTGTGCCCTCTCACAGTAACAAAGAGATACAGAGTATTGTGTCAACATGACACACTCAACTCACTGAACCAATATTTTCCAACTGCCAGAGGCTTGATGTCACAAAATCATGCACAGGTTAAAAAAAAAAAAAAAAACTCACAAGACAGACCAACCTTCAAGAAATTACCATTTGTGGAGTTTTGGTGTAGTATCAAAGAGGTAATTATCATAAGAGCTATTAAAATACTATCTTTTCCTACAACATATCTTTGTGAATCCATATTTTCTTCATAATTTCAATCAAAATAACTTATCTCAAGCAGGATATGGTGCAAAACCTGTACAATCCAGCACTAGGTAGGCTGAGGAAAGAGGCTCATAAATTTGAGGCCAGACTGGGTTACACAGCAAAACCCTATCTCAAAAGAAACAATAAAAAAAAAAAGCAACTTCTTACAACATATTGAATGCAGAAGCAATATGAAAACCCAATTATCTTCAATTAAGCCAGACATTAGATTTTCAAAAATGGATAAAGCCACTTTTCTCATTGCTTTCTTTTGGAAAATATAGCTATTTTTCATATTAAATGTTACTTAGGTTACCATGTAATGGGTTTTATTATTGTACTTTTAAGTGAATTCATAAGTATTTCAAAAATTTGTTTTAAGTATTAATAAATAGTTATGCATATAATCCAAATAAATAAACGTTCTTGAGGTTCAAGAGATTCAAAAAGGTTTGAGAACCACTGTTCTAAGTTACCTGCAGTCATCCTCCCTTCCTAACCTTATTAATTCCTTGTGAAAGGCATAAAGAAGAAAAAAGGTGGTGAAATCCACCTAATTCCATATCTTGTTAGTAATCAAAAAATGAGAACACAAGAAGGTGGGTATAAATTGTTCTTTGTTCTCGCCAGGCAGAATGACTCAAGCCAATAAGCCCCTTTACTCAGGAGGCAGAGCTCAGGAGGATGGAGGTTCAAGGCCATCACAGGTAAAATGTTAGTGAGACCCCATCTCAATGAATAAGCTGGGTATGGTGTTTCCTACCTGTGATCCCAGCTAGTGGAAGGCACAGATAGGAGGATCACAGTCCAGGCCTTCCAGGGCAAAAAAACAGGAATCCCTATTTGAAAAATAACTAAAACCAAAAGGGCTGGAGATGTGGCTCAAGTGATAGAGTCCCTTCCTGCCTACCAAGCGTGAGGTTCTAATTCAAATCCCAGTACTGCCAAAAAAAACCAAATTGTTTTTCTTTGTTCTAATTACAAATGACATAACTCATCCATAATAGAAGATAGGCTGATTATCTTAAATCCAGAGACTCATGAAGATACAAAAAATTCTTCCTCGAGGGACCAAGAAAAAATTACACATTTATACTTCAGGAAAATTATACTGAAATACAATGAAACTCAATAAGAAAAAGCAAAGAGCCATAAGTTATAGTTACCTTCATTTATTCAGAAAAGGAAGTGAACACTAACAGCAAATCAGAGGTAAGTCCCAAAACAGTAGTCTCCATAAATGACAGGTACTCAATTCTTATTCATTACCATAAATAGGTACTTACTACGAGAGTTCCATAATGTCATTATCATGTAATTGAATATTCTTGCTCTGTCTGCTCATTCAAGCCATAGTAATCAATTTATAATACACATTCCCTATAAGAAGGAATTATTTTTTCCCCCTCTTGGCAGTACTGGGTCTTGAACTCAGGGCCTTATGCTTACTAGCCAAGCGCGCTACCACAAGTTACTTCACCAGCCCTTTTTTGCATTGGTTACTTCTGAGATAGGGTCTAGAGAACTATTTGCCCAGGCTGCCTTTGAACCACTATCCTTCTGATCTCTGCCTCCGGAATAGCTAGGATTACAGGTGTGAGCCACCAGGGACGGGCTGAAAGAATTCTTTATACTTACTCCATTGGTGAAGTGCATTGCATGGAAAGACACATAAATAAGTAGCTCCTTATGATAAAGACAATGATGAATTGATCACACATTTTCAGCAGTTCCACAAACTAACAATTGTCGAGCTATCTCTAATTGGAAGATAAAACACAGCTCTTGGCTTTCTGCTCTCACTCTAGTTCTTCTTGGTTTCATCTTCATGGTGCCAAATCTCACCCAACCATCTCTACTACAGAACTGAAGCCATGTCAAGTAATGACTACAATAATTTACAAAAATGACAATATTAAATTCTGGTAGCTGACTGAAAATGTGAAGCCAAAATGTGGTCATTCAAGAATAGAGAACTGAAAGGCACACTTGAGTTGTTTCTTTGACTAGTTATAATAAAGATACAAGAAGCAGTTATCTTTGTCAGAAAACAAGTAACCTTTGAGAGAACAAAGGTTCCTGACAGTTTATAAGCACTTCTCCATTACCCAATCATTAGTATATCAAACTAGAAAGCTTGATTCCGGGTACATGGTCTAAAAAAAAAAAAAAAGAAGGTAGGAAAAAAGTAAAAATGGCATGAACACTACTTAGCATACAAAGAAATTCACAGATAAGTAATCCACTAATAAGTACAGAACCATGCAAAGGAAATAGAAGAACAGAGGTAAAAATTGGGCATAACAAAGAAAAACTCAAAGAAGGTAAAAAGAATGCTATCAAAACACTCCTATTACAACAAAACAAATGTACATTAGTATCTCTTTTTAAAATAAAATCATTATCAAGTACAGGAATTTGCTTCCAATGGTTTCAAAATGAAAAGCAGAAAATTTATCTATAAATCTACTACTAACTACAATCCTATGTCAGAAGATTTCCAATTTGTAACAACTCTGCCTGCTGAATATGCTGAGACTGGCCTAGCTGGGAAGGCCAATTAATAGACAAGTGTCTTTGTGTTTTTCAGTTTCGGACATTTTTAACTCTCTTATTGAACAACATATAGTAATTAAGTGCTACAAACTCAGTAAGAAATCTTCTTTGCCTACAAAGAAAGTGAATATTTATAGACTCTAAGACGAGAAAGGATCTCAAAGGATATCTAGTTTCCCCACAAAGTTGCACCTGTCACTTCTGCTCCAATCCTTAAACCTGAGAACTCAACGTTATCTCCTTCACTCAGAGCTTTTACATCGCAACTCAAAGATGACAATTGTCCTCAGAGATAACTACTTTCCTGTGACAGCACGCGGCATTTGAATTTATTTAGCTGCCTACTGTCTAGTTAGCTGAAACAATGAGCTTAATGATCATTCTGGAAATTTTTAAAAAATTATTTAGGTTTTCAGTGTGCATTAGAAACACAACCTCTGAGCAAGAAATAACACTAAGATTAACCTAAATTCATGAGCAGGCAAAATGCGTCTGGTGCGTTATGACTTCTCACAAAGTATGAGTCAAAGGGTAGCAACGCGCTCTCGGGCACTTAGCCGAAAGCCGAGAAGTGAAGAGGATGCAGAGTGTTTAATAAAGCGGTACAGACAGATTTCACACCCTGCACCACCTCTCTGCAAGCAAAGTGGGAAAGGAAAGTGGATGAGGGCGAGCCGGCGTGGGCGGGGACAAGTGACCGGGACATGGACTCCCCATTGCTCCATCTACCTGGAGCTGGTGGACTAGGCAGGAAACCCGGCGCGGCGAACAAGGCCAGGCCTGTCGCTAACTCTCCACGCCACCTCGGGACCGAGCCGCGCCACCCCGCGGCCCGGAGCCTCCACCCAGCGGCGGGGGGCCTTCCACAGTGCCGGGCGCGTGCGCATGCGCACGGCCGCTCCGCACGCCAGCGCCGCGGCCCACCCCCGCCGGCTCCGGCCCCGGGCCGCGCCAGGCTCCGCGTTGCCGCACGCCGGAGCAGGGCCTCGGAGCCCCGCAGCCGCGAGGGCCGCCCCCCCAGGCCTTGGCCGTGGCATCACCTGGGCCCCGACCTTCGGGCTCGCCCCTCCGGCGGACGTGCGAGCGCCTCAGACCTGGAAGAATTCCTTGGGATCAGGGCGCCGCCGGCGTCCTCCGACTTGCCGCAGTTTAAGCTCAGCGCCTTCCTGGTTGCGGCGCCAGGCAGCGCCAGCCGAGCTGCCGAGGGCATCGATGCGCGCTGCCAGGCGACAGGAGCGCCGAGCGAGTCGATGGTCACGCAGCCAGTTTTGTGTTTAGCGTTTGTTCTGCGTGCTTGTACAATCGCATTTTCTTGTCTCCTCCAAAAACAATAAGGGTGGGACTGGAGGACGTAACTGCCTTAATAATCGCCGTTATCATCACGGATAATTAGTAACTCTGCACGGTAGAAGTTAGGTTTAAGACACCCACTTCAGGCAAAATTGGTTAGCTCATGCTGGGAGAAGGGGGAAATTCGCCCAACAATAATAAGTCCGGAGTGTGTCGTGTGTGATTAAATTGTACTGATTTATTTGCGAAATCGCATTAAAGCCGGTGTGTGTGTGTGTGTGTGTGTGTTTTGTTTTTTGGGTTTTGTTTTGTTTTGTTTTTCTGCCCTGAAGGTGAAGGCACTCACAGGTTGGGTGCAAATGAGTTTTTCAGATTGAAGTAACTGGTTGGTAGAGGAATGAGGGAAATCTGCCCGATTCGAGAAGAGGAAGTGTTTTCTGGGAGAGAAATCGAATGTATAGGTGTTTTTTTTTTTTAATCTTATAACAGAAATTAAAGCAATTCAGCATTTTCTGTAACTCATAGTATATTGCTTTCCCTTACAAGAAAATCTGTTTGGTTGGTTGGTTTTGTTTTGTTTTACTCATTATTTGCTACAAGAGAGCCACCAAGCTAAGGACTCACACAAACTGTTAGCTTCGATTTGGGTGGACTATGAGAAGCACTTCATTCGCAGCTGCTCGATAACCAACGTACAGTTTTGCAGACTTTCCACGTGGCGCAATCACCTCCTTCACAATCCATTCATCCTAAATAACTGTACCTCAACTAGCCACTTTTGAGGGGCCATTTTAAAACCGAACTGCAACACTACATACTTTAAATAATTCAAGAACGGGGGGGGGTACCCTTTGGGTCCTGAATTTTACTGAAACCTGTGTATCTGTCCACAGATACTGAGCTTTAGCCTCAATGATTTTTTTTCCCAAAACTGCTTTTTGAAATGTCCTATCTGCAGAAGACATCTGTTTAGGAAACAATATTAAAGCCTCATAGCATTTATTAGCATCTGACTTCAAAACCTTGGAATTTTTTTAAATTAAACTTTCTATAAGGGGGGACTATTAGGGATGTGAAGGGGGAAAGGGGAATGAGAAAGGTAATGAAGGTGAATATGATCAAAGTACATTATAGGCATGTATGGAAATTTCATAACGAAACCCATTAATTTTTACAATTAATACACACTAATAAAAAATTTTAAATTAAACTCCCTTAAGGCTACCAGTCTGTGGTCAGGCACTGCAGATGTCTCATTGCTCCATCTGATATTAACTCTGCCATTCCTATATTTAAAAAGAGCCAATAAGTTGAGATAATGGGGAAATCTGTTGGTTCCAATAACACAACAGTTGCATTCCAACCTTCCCTGATTGCCTTTAAAGTGGTGTTCTTTCCCTCAAGCTCAGTAGCTTGAGGACTCCTGATCCCTTATCAGACTTCTAATAGAGGTTATTCTGGAGTTGTTTGAGAATATGTATTTAACATCTTAGAACTCTTGGAACACCCAATCTATTTAGCTGAGCCCAAAATAATAGTCATTCTATTAAGTAATTAAAACAGTTTCACGAAGAACTAAAGATTTTTATTTTTCTCCTGTGATATCAGAATTAAAGTAGTTGCAGATAGTAGACCAAGACTCAATGTGAAGTTGCATGTGTAAATTCATATAACATTGGAAAGTTTGAGTATTTGAGTCTCTTGTAGAAAAATTAAAGCAAGTGCTCATATAATTCATTAATACCCAAAAACTATTGCTACTGAAAGTTTAATAATCTTCCGTCCTAAAAGTAGCAAAAATAAGATGTTTTCAGAAGGAAAGATAACTTCAGAGAATAGAGCAAAGCAACATTTCCGAAAAGCACGATTTTCACCTTCCTTAAATTCACCAAACATGAACATTTTAATCTGACGAACGCTGTAGTATAACACGAAGTTCTTAATAGTCTCTAACTGCATACATTTGAGAAACCCTAACATATCAGATTATAATTGTGTTCTCTTTTTACAAATGTTTCCGGCTGTTTTGATAGAACTTGTCCAATTATTTGTCAACTTTGTTTTGATGCTTTAACCAATGAATAGAAGATACACATATTAAAGTTCTGTAATTGCTTTTATTTTACTAACAGTATTAGCGCCAAGATAATGAACAAGTTATCTTTAACATCAAAAAGACTGCATTAATATTCAGTGTGCTTGAAAATGTTCCCAAAGTCACACTTAAAGAGGTATATTTGTGTATACACTCAAGTACATGTAACTTTTGCTATGGAAATATTTATTTGTGAGTATATTAACTTGCATAGCCACGCTTCTCACAGCAAGCCCTGACCTACACAGTGATTCAGGAATATACACGTTCCTCCCATATCACAAACCGTGTGGATAAAAATAGCCCAGAAATATAATTTGTAAATTTTAAATGAGAGAGAGAGCGAACCTTTTCGCAGCCATCTCTTTTTGAACAGTCCACGAGAAGTAAAATGAGATGGGACACAAACTTAAGTCGTTGTTTTTTTCAAGCTCGAAAAGAGATATTCTTTTGTTTTTCAAAATTAGGGAAATCAACTGGAATGTTCGCCGATATGCTAAAAGAAGAGCTCCTGCAGTTCATCCGGGGTGGGGTCCGGGTGTAGGGAGTTGGAAGGGAGAAGGGTTAGAGTCCAGAGACCCCAAATAGGAAACGAAGTCGAGCTGTCCTTGACTAGGCGCTAAGGAAACACATTAAAATGGGACCTGTCAGGGAACAGCTGCTCAAGAAACACGTTAAATCTACTGGCCCTTCTAGCGGGATCCGTTCGTAACGGAGTCGGCTTTGACTCCGAGACGTGAATAGTGGGGTGAATTACACCGAACCCGGGCTCAGCCTGACTGCGGATGACTCAGGAAACTCCTAAAAGGAGGTGCACGGCCTGGGGAAGCAGTAGAGAACCGGTACTCAGGACCAGCGTGTGAAGCCCCGGCGATGTGCGGCGGTAGAGCTGCGGGGGCGGGGAAGAAAAAGGGATGCGGTAATGGGTGCCTGATGCCGGGCAAGGACCCGGGGGCAACAATGTGGGGCCGAGCAGTTGCAGGGCACCCTGACATCAAGCGAAGCTGTAGGGTGATTTCAGTGTGGGGACACCCGACTGACTCCAAGAGCTGCGCACTTGTCAGTTTCCTCTTGGCCCCGCCCCCGCAAAGTCCATCCCAGCTCCCCAGTGTTTAACTAAGTCGAGACACCAACGCAAAATCCACGCCTAATTAAATTAATTAGGGATTCTTGTCAATCCTGGATTAATGGCCAAGAGCACAGGCGGCCGAGGATGGCCGAAAACCCGGACCGCCGGGACCTACCTCCTCTCCCCGCCCCCTCTGGTCCCGCAGCGCTGCCCTCCCACTCCAGCGCCCGCCGGACTCCAGCCTCAACCTCTCTCTCAGTATCTGTCTCGCTCCATCCATCTCTCTCTCTCTCTCTCTCTTCCCTCTGTCTCTCTCCCCTCTCTCCCCCTCCCCTCTCAATGTCTCCCCCCTCCTATCTCCCCCAGGTGGTGGCGGGGCCGTTACCCGGGAAGGGGCTCGCTTCGAGTTGCGAGGGGAGGTAATTTACTGGGAACAAGGGGCCGCCTTTAGGAAGTATAAATAGTGAGACTTCAAGCGCAGCGTCGCTATCAGATCTGAACTCTCCGCAGGAAGAATTGTCAAAGATCTTAACGTTGAACAAGCGCGCTCCGGCGGGGAAGCATCAGTTCCCATTTCCCTCCGGCGGCCCCCGCCCCTTCTCTCCTCCTCCTCCTCCCTCCTCCGCCGCGTCCTCCTCCTCCTCTTCTTACTTCTTTTTCTCCTTCTACTTCTCCTCCTCTTTCTTCTTCTTTTCTTCTTCTTCTTCCTCCTCCTCCTCCCCTCTCCTCCCCACCCCCTGCCCCATTGATGTGTTATTATTGGGGGGGCTGGAGCAGTAAAAAAAGAAGAAGGAAAAAAAGAGCGGAGCTCGGCAGGGAGAGGTGGAGCGCGGGGCTGCCCGGCGGCGGCGATGGAAGAACTTACAGCGTTCGTCTCCAAGTCTTTTGACCAGAAAGTGAAGGAGAAGAAGGAGGCCATCACGTACCGGGAGGTGCTGGAGAGCGGGCCGCTGCGCGGGGCTAAGGAGCCGAGCGGCTGCGCCGAGCCTGGCCGAGACGACCGCAGCAGCCCGGCAGTCCGGGCGGCCGGCGGAGGCGGCGGCGGAGGAGGCGGAGGCGGAGGCGGAGGAGGCGGAGGAGGTGCAGGAGGAGGAGGAGCAGGCGGAGGAGCTGGAGGAGGGCGCTCTCCCGTCCGGGAGCTGGACATGGGCGCCTCCGAGAGAAGCAGGGAGCCGGGCAGCCCACGGCTTACGGAGGGTAACGGCCAGACCCCCGGCCGCGGTTCCCCTTCCCGCCTTCCTGACTCCTCTCGGGCGGGAGAGGGCCCTGAGGCCCAGCGGGGAGGGGGTGGTTCGCGGAGAGGGCCCTGGACCCCAGCTTTGGAAGCTAGAGCGGTAGTGGAGGGGCGGGGTGGGAGTCCAGTGGTGTGCACGGTCGTGGGTGGGGTCCTAGCGTGGGGGAGGGCGTGGGGGTTTGCGCGCATCCTTCCCAGACGCTCTCATTGCACTGAAATACATTTTTCACCCTGGAGGATGGGGCCGCAGCCCGGACGGCCCGCGGGCGGACGTGGAAGTTTGCAGGGCCGACCTGCGGTGGGGGTGCTGCCAAGGGCTCATCGGACGGCCAGATTAAGGCTAGCATTTTACCCCCGAGTGTGCAGAGCCTCTTTCGTAGGCCCAAGCCACAGAGAGAAAAGGAGGGGACACGCTTCATCCTAGGTCGCCCCGGGGTTTGGAGCTGTCGTAACTCCATAAAGACCCTGAATATCGTGATCCTGGGGACCAAAACTTCCCATTCTCTTTGCGCTATGAAGGTAGAAGGAAGCCTAAGCAGGCTCCTGGCCGAGACGTTTAGGTTTCTGTTTGGGGGGTTTGTTTTTCTATATTTTCTTAATTTCTTTACTGTTTTGATTCATCTGGTACTCTGGTCTTGTGTCTGTTAGGGGGAAGGGAGGTGTCCTTTGGTGCCAGCAAAGTGTTAGGAAATGCCTTTATCTAAATGGTGGAGCGTCCTATATCAATTCAAAGGACTTCAACAATAAAATTAATTTGGCACTTGGTGCTGCAGTAACTGGTGTACTGCCATATTTTTCCAATTAAGAAAATATGTGGCATGCATGGAGTCACATATTTAAGCAAGCAATTAAGTTGTTTATAACACGCTCTGTTCCTGTTTAGGCCATTAAGTAGAATTTTAGGGGTGAAACAAATTATATTAAGTCTATTAATCAACTTGAAATTTGGGCTTCTTTCTATTTGATATCCCAAAACTTTAAGGGGTATCCACTGTGCGGATGACAAGAAATAGACAAAGCCTTTCCACCCCTTTGGCAGAATCTGAAGGGTGTATTTTCATGTTTGAAATTCACTACAATTATCAATGGCAATATTTTCCTATTAAATTGGTCCCGAATGTTGGCTAGAATGTTATCTACTTCCTTCCTGGAGGCAGGACAAAATGTCCACGAAACGAACTCTGAGGACTAGAAGCATGGGCAGCACTTCAGATCACGATATAGAATGCCAGGCTGGGCTGAGTTCTAGCAGTTCCTCTTCTCCCAGCCCGGGCACCAAGTCCTCCTGAATTTGAAAAGTAATAGGGACATCTCAGCCTCCCCACTGTGGCCCACTGCTCTGGGCTAGGTTCCCAGTGAGCCAGAACGGCTGGGAACCAACCCGAATCCCAAGCGTTCGTAATTCCTAGGATTGTTCATTTCCAAGCTCAAGGCAAGAATTAATTTATCTTTAGACTGGCACTTCTAGAAATTATTTTTAACCATCCCCGTGAATCGGGATCCTGAATTGGAAAGAACTGCAAACAGCCTTGACTATCTAAATTCTGCGTTGACACTGAACACCAAGTTAGGTGCAGAGAATGAAGGTTATGGTGGACCTTAATGTTGATAAGGCTCCAGGTTCCCCCTGACCACTGCCCCTTGGCGCGCGCGCGCGCGCGCGTGTGTGTGTGTGTGTGTGTGTTACATACCTGTGTCTCATCCTCGGGTGACTCTGTATGCTTGCACTCGCAGAGCTCCTGTTTTTAAAGGGAAGGGAAGGACAGGAAAGTAGCAACGGGTGTGTGCAAACCCACAGCAGAAAACTGCATATTTTATTAAACATCCAAGCTGCTGGATGCATGAAAAGGCTTTGAGCAACCAATAGAAACCGAGGATCGGGAATGTTCTTCTTGAACCTGTTGATCTCTGTGGGTTTCAGCGTTTAGGGTCGAGTCTGCGTTTCCACAGGGGAGGGAGAAGGAGAGAACAGGAGCAGCGGTGGGTTTCGCAGACCACCGGAGGCTGGTTTTCCGCCTCTTGCCTTCTGGCCTGACGTGGGCGGCGAGACCTTCAGGCCGCCAACATGGCGTGGACGCCTGTGATCATGAGACCTGGGTCAGGCAGGGGGACTGGGACTGTCCGGTTGCCCCTGTAGCCTTCCGAAGGGTCTGGCCCGAGCCCTGGGACAACGCAAGGCGCCCAGGGATGCGGCTTCCAGCGCGGCGCAGCACCGGGGTCCTATTCTCCTGCCGCGCGACCCTTCGGCCCGCCCAATTGTTCCTAAATTAGACCATCAAGTTTGTGGGACGCAAAGGGCCGGCGGTGGCAAAAGCTAGCCCTGACCACGAGCCAGCCCTCTAGGGATGGCTGGCGTGAAGGGCCAGTGCGTGGCCTTGCCGCGCCCTTTAGCCAGGACCGCGCTCTGGGAGAGGCCCGGCGCGGCGCTTTTGATTTCTGTGAGTGGGAGAGCGTGAACGCGAGAGAGTGAAGGATGCATTTGGGGTGCATAGTGAGGGCAGTGAGCAAGCCACAGCTGCGGATGAGGGGGGAGGCCATTGCCCACCTTACCCCCGGACGGCTATGCAGACGCGACTTTTGCACATCACCAGGATCCTTTTCCTCCCAGCAGAATGCGGGGCTGGACGGGGATTTCACTAGGGGGTAGGAATTCTATCCTTATTTGAGACAAATCTAGTAATGAGATTTGCTGTGCTGTTTTTTGTCTGTGTGTTTGTGTGTGTGTGTGTGTGTGTGTGTGCGTGTGCGCGCCGACGCACGTGTGGTCCCGTCCGTGTTTCCCTCTCCAGTGTCTCCCGATTTGAAGGATCGCAAAGAGGATGCGAAAGGGATGGAGGACGAAGGCCAGACCAAAATCAAGCAGAGGAGAAGTCGGACCAATTTCACCCTGGAACAACTCAACGAGCTGGAGAGGCTTTTTGACGAGACCCACTATCCGGACGCCTTCATGCGCGAGGAACTGAGCCAGCGACTGGGGCTGTCGGAGGCCCGAGTGCAGGTACCCGACCGCGAGGAGTTGGAGGCTCGGCTCACGGAGCGGAGGACTGAGACCTCCAGGGTTGGAAAGGCAGCTTGGAGCAGTATCACACCGAGGGTGCTGGTTCAAGTGTCTGCTGTGTGACGAGAAGGGGAGGGATATCTTTACTAGAGGTCTATTTTCTGAAGTAGATCTTAGTCTTATTGCCTACCCCCCACCCTTCTCAACATATGTTCCCTGCAGAAGAAAGCTGTGCTGGGCTTGCTCCCAGAGTTTCTATAAACCACACCCCCCTCGCCTCGCGCTGTCTTTAATGTGGTTTAATCCTAATGGGCCTACTTTTATAAGGCTTAAAAAAAAAAAACCCTCAGAAAACGTTTTATCTCAGAATGTCTTAAAAGTTACAATGAGTATTTTGCTCGCCCGAGTTGGGTTTCGTTAAGGAGTTTCCTCCGGGGTCTAGGTTTGCCAAGCGGATATGCCAATTAGGTTTATAGATGTACAGACTATAAAGAAAATTAGCAACTGTTAAGTGCAAAAATTTACAATCTATTGCAAGCGGGTGATCTTAAACCCAGTGTGAAACGGCGGAGAAGTGAATGCATTTTGGTCACTCTTTGTTCGTTCCTTTAACCAAGGCAACGAACCTGAACCCACCAAAATTCAATTCTAAAATAACCCACATAACTTACTATTGGCATTTCCAAAGCCTGATCTCCAGCAAGTGCCATACCCCAAGAAGTTAGGGTTGTCCCAGATTTTTCTTTATTGGTTATTGATGTGAATGTAATAGCAAAAGTAGGTCGTGGGGGCATTTAAGGGAGACAATAATACACATGCATACATATGATTCAAAGTTTATGGGGAACAAATTTAAACGTTTCAGATTGTATTTCCGCTTAAATAATAAAGTAGGAGAAAATGATGGTCATTATTTGTTTGAACACATGGAGCAGTTTTAGTCTGGAACGTCTGCAGCTGTTACAAAGTATCGCTGTAACAGATACTCCCTGGGTCTCTGGGCTCAGAGACCACCATCTGTAGCAAACTATGCACAATTCTTAGGGGGCTCCTCGCATCTTGTAATAGGATCGGGGAAAAAAGAGTAGTAACGTTGAAGGAGAAAAGTAATAATAGGCCGCCTTGGTCATCGCACCATCAACTATAGAGTCTTCCTTTTAAAGCCTCGCCAGCTGTGCTCTGTGCCCTGAGATCTCCAGAGGCTCAGCAACTTGCAATACCTTAAAACCGTGATAATTATTACAGTTATGAGTAATAGTATCTCAATTCTAACTCTTCCAAAGGGGAAAAAAAAGAGTCAAGAAGCCTCGGGCCATGTGAGTTACACAAAGGATGCCACCCTAGCATGAAATCCATCCTTTTATTATACTAAATAGCAGGGGAATTTTTGAAGATTCACATTGACTGTGACACTTGCTTTCAAAAACACACCAGAAAAAGCTCTGAAGCAATATTTTCCTTTCATGTGTTTTTAAAACATTAATTTGTGAGTCTGTCAATATGCTGTATTATTGGAACTGAAGTATAAAAGCAAATTTTATTTGAATTTTTAAAAAATCTGTCATACTGTCTCTAAAAGTTGCCAAGTTATTTAAGAAGATCATATCCAGTATCCAGGAGTTACTAGATTCATGGAGTGCTCTTCTTCTTTCTCTTAAGAAGTGAACTTTATTTTTGGCCTTTATTTTTTTCATACTTTCATTTAAGTTTTAGCGCTGTGTTCTAGAGTCTTCCCTACTGTCCTAACTGGGGGCAGTGACTTTTCCTATGGAAGCAAATTAGATTATCATGATACTAGCACAATCACTCTGCTACTGTGTTACACTCTGTTGCACAGAGGAACAGAGAAATCCTAAACTTCTTTGTAGTGGAGCCTTTATGACACTAATTACTTCTCCCTCTTCATGGCCCCTTCCCCCTCCTCCTCCCCCTCCCCACAAAAGAAGAGTCATTATTTGTTTTAGTGCTTGATTATTCTTCAACATGAAGCTAATTAATATTACAGGCTATTACTGAATCCATTCCTCTTAAGTCTTAACTGGGTAAACATTTAAACCCATTATCACATTGCTGTCAGGTACCAGGGAGAGTTTTAGGCCTTGAGGACTCTATAATGCCAAAGAATGATACCAGGACTCATGGTAATTTATCAAGAAATTTATCTTGCAATAGTCTATGAAATCTTTATGTCATTTACATTTTTAATTTTGGAAATTGAGGTTGTTTTGTATAATTCAAAGATTGATTGTTATATCTCTCAAGCCTTGTCTAAAATATCTGTCATTTTTCAATGTACTCTTGTAATTTAAAACATTTTTTGAGTCATAACATATAGGGTTTTATTTTTATCCCCTGCACCTTGTAGGTTTGGTTTCAAAATCGAAGAGCTAAGTGTAGAAAACAAGAAAATCAACTCCATAAAGGTATGCTTCTCGTACAAAACAAACAAGCAAACAAACAAGAAAAACCACTTGCTACACAACTAAAAAGAGAAGTGGGGGAATATTGTTATTACACAGACAGAAAAAAATCTTAAAAGAAGATAGTCCTTGATTTAAGAAACTTCTCTAATGACAGTTAATGAAAGTCCTGAAGTTTGAGGGTAAATTCCACTTATTTTAATTATGGAAGTAGTTTAGAAAAAAGAACAGTCCAGTTCTGAGGGAGTCTGTTGTATCTTGGTATGATTTGCAACCCTGGAAAACAACACTAGAAATGGTAACCTCAAATTATTGTGTTTTTTTTCCTTTTTTTTACAGGTGTCCTTATAGGGGCAGCTAGCCAGTTCGAAGCCTGCAGAGTCGCACCCTATGTCAATGTAGGTGCTTTAAGGATGCCATTTCAGCAGGTAAGTACAGCCTAGTTTCAAGCTGTTTTTAAGTAGAAAAAAGACTTGGGTGTTTGCTTGGACTGTTGAGCCCCAATGTCCAACTGGATAATGATTTCAAGATGATACAGTAGACCCACTGCCCTTTAAAAACCTATACACTATCATGGTCTTGAATGCTTAGTCCTTCCTGTTTTCAGGGGAACCCCTGCAGAGGACTGAGGGCAGCAACTGGACTTTTTAAAAAATGCACTAAAGAGGGAGGGGGGAGAAATGACCCAAACATTGTATGCACATATGAATAAAAAAATGCACTAAAGAGTGCACGTGGGAAGAGAAAGGAAAAGCCTTGATTAAGATTTTGTCAAATCCAATACATAGGTTAGTCCTAAAGTGTTTCTAAGGCAACCCTCTATTTTTTCTATGTGTTTTCTACCACTTAGTCACATTGAATGTCTCCGGCAGATGAAAAATAAATACAAATACTCCCAACTCAGACTTGTATTTTAAAAGCTGTCTGCAAACAAAGCTTCTTCTCTGATATGGAAGCCTTGGTCTTCTCAGGGCTGCCCTAAATCTATGTCTGCAACCCTTTTCTTAGCCATAAAGGAAGCTTTAAGACTGCATTTTAAAAGGACAGCCTGCAGCAATGATTTAATCCTGGGAAATCCCAGCGCTATGAACTCCCCACTCTTTGAGCCTGAAGGCAAAATCCTTTCCCTACCAGCATCTGACCTTCCCCATCTTCAGCCAAGACCCCTGCTTTGCAAGGCTGTGATGTCATGAATTAGCTCTCAGCACCCTGGACTGGGGAGACACCTGAGTGTATCCATGCATCGAGAGCTAGTGTTAGGGAGACTTTAGTTCTCTTGGCACCACGATATATCCTCACGTGGGGCTTTTGAAACAGGAGACAATGATTGGAGAAAGAGGGAAGGAGGAGTTTAAAAGGAAGCTGGAAGAAGGAGGAGATCTCCAGGCCAGCAAAATCAGAACCACCTGGGAGACTTTTAGAAATTCAGAATTTCAGGCCCCAACCTAGACCTAATTCAGAATCTGCATCGCTGCATCTAAACAAGATCCCGGGGTTATTCTTATGGTACGAAAAGTTAGTACAGACTCACAATTATGCCAGTTGTAGTGAAGAGCCAATAACTTCCCTAAGTGACCAGAAAAGGTTTTGCAGTTTGCTTTAGTAGTGTGACAAGATGTGGCAGAATCAGAAGAGGAGTAACAGTCCTCACCCCCAGCCTTTCCAATATAGCATTGTTCTTTTAAGGTAGACGATGTTTTTAGCCTTCTTACTTCCGAGAGGGTAGCCACATTCCTGCAGACAGGGAAATAAACTCATGAGGAACAACTTGCAGAGATGGGAGCGGGGTGAGGGTGGGGGTGGGGGCGGAGGGAATCACTGGAGCAGCCGGATGGCGCCCCAGATTCAGCAACAGGCCAAGAAAGTCACTTTCTGGACAAAATGCTTAGCCAAATGCCCCCTACCTGACCCACACCCCAACCTTCTCCCTAGCCAAGTTGGACGCCGTTAATGCTCTGTTTCTATTCTGTTGTCACCCTAGGATAGTCATTGCAACGTGACGCCCTTGTCCTTTCAGGTTCAGGCGCAGCTGCAGCTGGACAGCGCCGTGGCGCACGCGCACCACCACCTGCACCCGCACCTGGCCGCGCACGCGCCATACATGATGTTCCCGGCGCCGCCCTTCGGACTGCCGCTTGCCACGCTGGCTGCCGACTCGGCCTCCGCCGCTTCCGTAGTGGCTGCCGCCGCTGCCGCCAAGACCACCAGCAAGAACTCGAGCATCGCCGATCTCAGACTGAAAGCCAAAAAGCACGCGGCCGCCCTGGGTCTGTGACGCCGACGCACGCCACGGTCCAGCCTCTCGAGCGGCGCTGACCCTGCACGACCTCCGCGTCCCGCTGCTTCTCCGCCACCCCCTTCGGACCTCCGGAGCCGGCCCTCTTTCCGCTCCGCTGACCGCCCCTAGTTTCTTTCTGCATCCTGGACTCGGAGGGCTGGACTCCGCCCTGGACCCGGGATCCCACGGGGCGCACCAGCCAGTGGCTCCTGCCCATCCTACCCTTGGGCCTAGAATTCGTCTTTGCAGGAGCGGGTTTGGCCAAGTCTGGAGAGAGACTGAACAAGGGAGTGCTGGGACAGCGGAATGTGGATAACCGCAAGGCTACAACAATGGACTCTTGAATAGAAATAAAATCTTGCATAGAAATAAAATCTTGCTAACAATAAAGAGCGGGGAAAAAATAGAAAAGACAAACCAGAGAGAAAAAGAGAAAGGGCACTTATTTCTGATGGCTATTTGGCATGAGCTGAAATCAGAGAGAGAACGACAGAGCAAAACAATTTTAAAAATCAAAGTATTTTATACATTTAAAAATATGAGAAAATAACCTGGACGAATCTCGAGAATGGGGGCGGGGGGAGTTACCATCTTAAATGTATGTTTTTTTAATGGGCTAAGAAGGCAAAACAGAAGGAAGAGGTATACTTATTTAAAGAATTAAAATGAAAAATGTGCGCAGCTGGGAAGTTCACAGGTTTTGAAACTGACCTTTTTCTGCGAAGCTCACTTTAATACGAGAAATTTGATAAGAGAGGCGGGCCTCGTTTTACGTTGAATCTGATGCTTTGAGTTTAAACCCACCACGTATGGAAGAGCAAGAAGAGGGAAGACAATGTGAAAACAGAAGGGAAAAATGTTAATACACAAAAAAATGATGACACAGACAATGATTCCTCTGAGAAATTATTATGACAGAACTGTCCGGACTACTGTCAGTAAATGCTGGTTTGCATGTTACTTGTATTCCATTGATGGTGTCTTCCTCCTCCCCCTTTATTCGTGTGCACTCACTCCATTTTCATCTTCAGTATGAGAGTTTGGAAATTGATACATATCTGAATACCGGTATACATCGGTATACATATTTTTGCCCAGTCTTTGGTCCTGGGGGATGCAAAGGAAAAAAGTCGAAAAGTGGGAAAAATTACACTTTAATTTTCCCTAGAAGATAGAGGCGGCCAGAAAATGTGGGGGAAAGAAAAGGAAAATAAGACCAAATGAATAATGAAGGTACACAGCCTTCCTTCGTGACACATAATAGGCGCTTAATCGGTGTTCATTCCTCTTCCCCTTTTCTTGTGTTCCCTCTTGCTGGTTTCCTGAAGTCCTCTTTGAGGACATTGCTTTATGTCCCCCTCTCTATCCCGTCAAATTCACCTTAATCAGCACCCAGCTAGATACAGGCACTAGGTTTCTGTAAAATATGTTGATACACACGAACAAGATTTATTTTGGCTATAACGTGTGAACTGATGGTCGTCTTTCAACATTCATTTTAACTCACAAAGGTGTAGCTATCCAAGTAATCTCTTTTTGTTGTTTGTTTCAATTCATGTAGCTATTTAAACGGGGATACCTTGGACTAAACAATCAGTATCCCAATTCTCTAGCAAGTCCTTTAGGTTTTCTGTTTGTTTGTTTTTCCTTTTAATTTAGAAGAAAGAGGAAAAGCTCTTCTCACTGAACTTTGGTATGCTGTTGAGCTTTGTAACTATTTGTTCTCCATGAAAACAAAATTATTTATATTTGCCATATTTTTTCTAGCGTATTAAGTTATTTTAAACAAAAGAAGATGCTGTTATCTCATGACGTGTTGTCAGTACAAAATGTTTCTGCTTCACCTCTGTTAAATCTTTTAAAGAAGTGCCAAGTTATTAATCGAAGACACTTTGCGATCAATTGAATGAAAATAGTACTGTTTCATTTGATGGGGTTCGCGTCATCTTTGTTCCTGTTACTATTAAAATATCCGGGATAGTCTTTCCTTCTTCCTTTTTGATGAATGTGTATCTCTCTGTCTCTCAGATCCTAACTGGGAAAAGCGCTTGCCTCTGCTCCCTCCTACATCCCACAGTCAAGGTGGCTCTGTGGTTCTCCAGGGCTGAGGGCATCTCCTTCCTTCCACACCATGTTAGACCTCTAACTAGGTTATGCCAAGTAAATAAAGAACAGTTAATAAGTAAAATAACATAGAAGAGGATAACTCCCTTCCCCAAGACGATTTCGCCTTCATTTTGCTATACTTTCACCCTTGAAGTTTATTTGGGAAGGAAAGAAAGGGATCGCGCGAAATCCACCTGGGCTTGTTAGGTTGGCCTAATCAACGATCGATCGGTCCTAGGTCGCCGACCCTCCCCGGAGCTGAGGCCAACATCGTCCTAGGAGTGGGCGAAGAGTCACGGAGGGGAGGCGGGGAGGGGCACTATGGAGGGCGAACCCCGCCCCCACCTTTGTCCAGTTTGGCTCTTTAGCCAAAGCAGCTTCTTCCTGGGTTCAGTTTAAGAGAAGGCGGAGGCCAGGGCAGAGTTTAGGAAAAGCCCAGTCTTCAGGCTCCTCATATACCGGGGAGCGCCATCTGGCCCTCTCCCGGCCGGCTTTGGGAACTAATCCCACTCCCCTATTAGGCGGTGGGTGAAGACGCGAACACCTAGTCCGGACCAGGCCTGGGACGGGCACTTTCTCCCTGCACCGGACTCTTGGGGATGGGGGACCTTCTCCCTCTGCGGAGACTGGAGATGTCCCCGGCGTCCCCGGGCCACCCACGCGGGACGGGAGGGAGTGCAGAGACCGCAACCAAGTCCCACATCCTCCCTGCTCGCTGCCTTCACCCTTTCTCGGGGACCGGAGTTGGCGTCGAGGCTGATGCCAGCCTAGACATGGAGACGTCTTTTAGCTTTCAAAGACCGCTGAACCTGTCCTGCCTCATCCAGAGCTCTGGCCCTGCGGGTATCCCGGTGCTTGAATGCCCAAAGTTTTTCTGATGAAAGTCTGCCTGGGGGCGTGGTGCGCCCTAAAGTGGCAACGTCTCCCAAACTCCTGCGGGCTCTGGGGTTGGGTCTGACCCCACAGGCTCCAATCCCCAACCCTAACCCAGCCCAGGACGCGGTTCCGGGGCTCAGCGCCTCCCATCCTGCGGAGCTGGGGTAAGCTCCAGGTCAAAGGCAGCAGTAGTCTTGGCCAGCTGGCCGAAGTGCAGGGTACCGGGCGCACCCAGTCCGCCCGGAAGGTTCCCACTGCCCAAGCCTTGGGGCCGAGCCCCAGTGCGGTCGGCGGAGGCTGTGAGGCCCGCGAGAAGAGCCAAAGGTTCTAGATCCGGTTGGCCGCTGTATGGTGCTAAGGAGTCCTTGCCTCCTCTTCCTTTCCCCGAAGACCGGGGGAAGGTGGAGGCCGCTTTCTCTGGCTCTTTGGGGCCTGGTCCTGCGAGCCCAGGCTCCTGGAACACATGCAAACACAGAGCCTGGATCACCGCATCCCGAACTGTCCTGCAGGCGCCTTCCCCTCCTCCCCCAACCCAGTTCCCTAAACCATCCTGAGGAGAGGTTGAGGAAATCTTTAAATAAGGACCAACATTCATTATTGTTTTGGTCAAAATTTAAAAATCGTAATAGATAATTTTACTAAAGGATCCTTGCCCCCACCCCTAACTTTTCGGGGCATGCAAATCCTTCCTCAGTTACAAAATCCATGCTTGGGGAAAAAACTGAGTTAAAAGAGATTATTCAAGACATGATTAGGGTGAAGGCCTCTGTGATCCAAGAGTCCCAGTAAGAACGGAGGCCTTTGCTTGGAGGTGAACAGATACACATCTAGTTTGAGTTTTCCCCCCAGATTTATAACTTTTTAGACCCTCAGATGGTAATACTTTAGTATAATGCAATGTTCAAATTTCGGAACTATTTTGATTTCTGAAAAATGTCTTTTTGGCTTCAACAACATGGGATCCTGTTTTTTCTTCACAAATCAGTTTACATCATAAATTGCAAACATTTGCAATAAGATCTCAAGATTGTTTATTTTACATAACCTCAAGCACTTGACTTTGTTAAACACCAGTATAGAAAGTCTGTGAAATCAGTTTAATGTGTGTCAGGGAATTAAAGGATCACTCCTTTTCATCACATAAACAAAGCATTTAAGACTGTTTTGATTGTCAGTCTCCCAGTTTTTAAACAGTCTTACAATTGGCTATTAATTTTAGAGTCATTCTGTGCAAAAATAATTACTAAAGTTATATCCTGTTTTAATTAAACGTTTCTGGGCAGAGAAATGGTATTCTACATCGGGAAGTGGGTGATTGTCTTTAACATATTATTTTAGTTCAAACATAAATAAAAGCCTGCAAATTCCAATGGGGGAAAAAGGCCTGAAATGGTTTCTTAATGTGCCATTAGAAGTTAGTCAAAATGCATTAATGCAGCATCACAAACCCAGAAATAATAAATATGTCATTCTAATGAGAGTGTTAACTTATGGATAATTTATTCCAGGTAGTTTTTACATTTCACATGGAATGGCTTATTATGACCTGCCTGACTACTGTGATGCTTATTCTTCAAAATCTAATTTATATAGGCTTGGAGTATACATAATTCATGACTCCTGTTGATATATGTATACATCCCCCGAATTTTAAATCTTTACAGTATGTCTGGGATGTTCACTAGCATGTTTTCAAGACAACTGAAATGAAATCATGAAAAGTGTTAAGCATTATATTGAAAGCAAGTGCTTGCCCTATGCCTGAAAAAAAAGTGGTTGAAAGTGAAAAAAAAATTTGAAGGATTAGATAATTTTCAAAAGCCCAGGAATAGAGTGAACACTGAATATTTCAGGCAGGTAACATTTTTGTATAAGAAATACAAAAATCCCCAAGAAAGACTTACAGATGTGAGCATATAACACTTCAGATGCCTAGGCAATCCTTCTGTGTCTCTAATTCATGAAACAAACAAAAAATCCTCAAGTCTTGGGGTATTTTATGTGTTAGTCAAGGTAACCATTGCATATGCCTTCAGTACAGAAAAATTTAGTATAGTACTTTCATGGAGTTCTGTTGGCATGAGGAAAGATTTTAGAATGCAATCAAATAAATCACATAGGGAGGAGTAAGCAGGGTTTTTTTTCCCCCCTGATCTTGAACAAGTATCTCTGTAGACTTTTATTCTAGCAGAATAGTTTGTGGTTAAGAGCATACACTCTGGAATCACGCTTCCTGGATTCAGACCTGCCATTGACTAGCCTTGGAATTTTGGATGAGTTTGGGGTTCTTTGCTTCACTTTCCTTATCTGTAAATGATGATATTAATAGTGTCTATGGCTGGGCACCAGTGGCTCACACCTATAATCCTAGTGACTCAGGAGGCAGAGACCAGGAAGATCGCAGTTCAAAGC